TTTGTTTGTTTCAGTTGTTTTTGAAGAAGAGTTTGAAGTGTTGGAGTTGTTAACTGGGATATTTCTTTTATTTCGTTGGTAAGTATTTTTCGTTTGTAGTTTGGAAGAAATCGCTCTAGTAACTGGCATAATTTTTTTTTTGTGTCTTTCTTTTTTAGTGGACTGGACGTTTGGGAGAAAGAGTTTTTTTTGATTTTGGATCATCCCATCTCGAGATATTTGCGATCGTATTTCGAAATCTGGACTCCTTTATTTAAAGTAAAATTTATTGATTTATAATTTCGGCCGATAATATAATTGCGAGTATCTCGAGATTGGATGATCCAAAATTAATGAATGTTAGCTCATTGGATCCGCCTAGTTTCGAGGAATCGAATGGTAGTTGTATCATACGAATCGGAGTGATATTGACTGAGATCATACATCTTTTGTTTTTTGTTTTTTCTAAATATAAAAAATCATGTGATATGACATCATTTTGACTATTTCGTGACTTTAGCAACTTTAGCTTCCAATGGTCGAAATGATTTCGACTATTTTGACCGTTTCAGATATCTGAAATGATACATTTCAACTTCATGTATAGTCATGACTACAGTCACCATCATCATCTACCCTATCTGATTGCGAAGTAACCTCTTCATTTGTTTCTTTCACTGACCGAGGTATGGGATCATTATCAAAATATAAATCTTCATAATCCTTAGCTGAAATTAAATGCTTTGTTTGTGCCTCTGATGCCTCTTCAGAATCAGTAATAGAGATATCTTGTTCTGAGCTGGCTTGATTATCAGCAAATTCTATATTAGGTTTTTCAGTGAAATGATCTATAATTGTTTGAATCTGAGAATTAGTGAATTTTGATATAGTATCGGCACTATATGTTTTGATATAATAAATCTTGTCCTCACCTATTTTATTGAATAAATTATCGATTCTTAAAGCTCTTTGTATCTGCCTATATAAGGTTTTACGCTTGGTATTTAGAAGATGTTTAACAATATAATCATATACTTGTCCCTTCGCCTTTTTTTCTCTAACTTTATTGCTAACTATATATTCCTTATACATATTTTTGAATTCTCTTGCATGGAAATACTAACGTAATGTTTCTTCTCTATTGGCTTTGATTATATCTTTTTCAGCTTCACATGCGTGTTGGTAAAGACTGATAATATTCTGTTTTAGCTGATCAGTACTCGCTGAAATTTCAGTCACATATGAAGCACCTTTCAGCTATTTTTCATACTCTTCTATAGATAAAGTCATTTCTTGAATCAGCTCCTGCTCACTTTTTTGCTGAAAAGCCTCTACTTTCATATCTGTCTGTTCACGCAATTGTTTCTTCTCTTTATTGCATTGCCTTATCCCATTACTAACGCTTTTCTTGTATACCTCATCCAAGAAAGTATCTTTCACATTAGGATTATGCTACTCAGGCTGAACTATAATAGATTCAGATTTATTGGTAGGTGGTACATCTGGTATCGGTGTTTGATTAAGCAAACAATCACTTATTTCTTTTGATACCTTCTGTTCACTCACACTTGAAAGGGTACTAGAGATATCAGGCAGGTCATTTTGCGTCTGCCTGTAATCCTGCTCCAATTTTCCAACTCTATCTCTAAGCTCAACATTTTTGAACTTGAGTTTAGGGATAGTTAACTTATTTTTCTTTAGTTCCACTATTTCAGCATTAAGTTTTCTAATCTTAGTTGTAAAATCTGCTATAATTTTATGCAACTCATCAGTTCTAGCATCAAACATCTGTTTCATCTCCAACTTCTCACTTTTAATCCCATTAATCTTGGCTATAAGTCTAGCATTTTCTTGCCTAATTGAGTCAAGCTCAGATTTCATTTTCATAAATATTTCTATGCACTGTATCAAAATAAGCATTCAAAATAAAAAAATCTCACGTGATTTTTGACGACTTAAGGACGTTGGAAATTGTCAAGAAAATTTTTTATTATTATAATATGAAAATAAATACATATATCGGGATGTAACTAGCGATACATATTATTTTTTGATCCTAGCCCTCTTGCTAACTGGGAAACGTAATATATGCTTTATTTAAGAAATAAAAAAAAAATATTGCCAGAGCAACTAATACATAAAAAATTGCGAATATATAGCTTTACATGACATAAATATAGATAAAAAATTTCTAACTGGTTGGTGGATCACTTGATTTCAAATTAGACTCTTTCACAAAGTAAACTCTTAATGCTCCTTTTCGATTATCTTGATTTATAAAATAAGACTATTAGGATAATGAGGATCTCATCAATAAAATACAGCTATAAAAAACATTTAATTACTCATAAAGTTCCTTAATGTAATCCTCAAGTTCTAATGCCTGTCTTAATGTCATTCCGTATTCCTTTAAATCCCATCCTATTAGCCTGAGAAATAAATCACCAGTGATATTTTTATCACAAAGCTTCATAAAAAAGTTATCATCAAGTTTTAAGCCTTCTAATTTTAAATCACTCCTCAAAAAGCTGATAAGTTTTTCAGTTTCCCATAGTTTTATCATTTCAGCCCAGGAAGACATCTTGTTTTTCTAAATACAATGTCCTATAGTGAGAAATTTTCATTTCCATACAAACATAACTTCTGACATATACGCACCTTATAAATTTTGTGGAAAGTTGGTGAATATGAACTTCCACACACTGCTACATGTTTTATATTCCACTGAAAAAAGGAGATAAGAAAAGTGATTAGTATTTTCGTTTGACGTCAAGAGTCCCTTGAAAGCACATGTTAACAGAATCTTCATACCTTTTTACATGTAGATCTACTGGAAAGACATATAGTTGACTTTACGCCTGATGATCTCAGAATTGTGAGTCCACTAGCCTTTCATAACATATGCTTTTGCTATCACTATTAACTTATAGGGAAGGTCCTGTGTTGCAACTGGACTTCCTTTCACATTTTTCTCAGGTTTGTACAGGAAAAAGATAGAGATATTGGTTAACGAACATATATGTGAAATTAATATGTGAAAATATCGCACAGATCTATTATGTGATCAGCCTATTTTGTCACACAATCTGTAGCTCAACAAAAAAATATTCTGAACTGATAGATCACCGCTCTGGACTACCTTTGCTTGGGTTAGTTACCCAATGTATGCCTCTCAATAAGTATTGCACTACATTTAGATTATTAGCAATGCCAGACTGACTGATATAATCTTTAATCCTAGTTATAATATTAGTCACTGATTCTTTTTCCGCCTGAATAAGCGTTTCTACTAATTTACAATAATAATTATTTTTTGCAATAGATCTCATATTGTCTCGCATTAATCTACTATAGAATTCACTTCTAAAATGACCTTTACAAAGTTTGACAGTATCATTATATTTCTTCGCCTTTAAACAGTAATCCACTATTGATTCTCCATTTTGAATAAACAATCTACATCAGAATTTCTCAATACCATCTAGCCATATTTCTTTTCGAAGTTCATGCGGACAATATGGCAATTTTATCAGACTCAATATTTGCGAAAGATAAAAGGCATCAGATTGTAGGAATACATGGAATAATGACGTTAGATTTTTTAGACTGGGCAAGGTATATACAAATTGCTTAAGCACATTTTCCCTCTAACACCTAACTGCCTTTGTCCCCCAGTAGGTTTTAATTGTGCAAAAAAGGTCGTTCCAATATTCCCACTCATCGGGATTCCCTTCATTACCCCATTTATATCTCAATCCATATTCTTTAATAAATTCATTGTAGCCTTCATCTATCTTGTTATCTGACATTTTACTAATAAATCTGCTATACTTTAATCAAAAAATTTTCACTAAACAGCTGGCTTATCTTCCGCAGTACCAAAGCTACAAGTGAGGAATTTATTTCCGCTAACATTGCATCAATTTCAGCTAACATAGAATCCATTTCTCATCACGAAGTTGGCCTAATGTTGGCCCTGTATTTATCAAATATAATTATCCAATAAGCATTTGAAACCTGCATTTAATAAATACTTAACATTCTATATGCGCTTATTTATATTTAAATAAGCATTTAATTATTACTATAATATAATGCAATTAAAATGTTAATTATAAATACTTTATAAATGCTGTTTAAAAAAGTATTTAAGAAATACTTTAATTTAATGTTTACCAACTACTATAAAAAAAATGTTAATTAAGCAATCAACTTTATTGTTAAAAAAGCATTTAATTAATCAAGCAGTTATCTAATACTGTTCAATATATTTATTTACATAAAAAAATTCCAGTTCATTAAATTTTGGTACTATATTTGCAATTGAAGCAATAGGAATTAAAGTATAATGCTCGACATGCTTAAGAACTGCATGTTTATAGAAATAATGACGTGTTGTATTATTTGGATATGCAAAATCATACCAATAAACAAGAGCAAGTTCAAGATTTCGCTCTAGCTTTATTGAAGTAACTCGAAGAATAAGAAGAACCTAAAAATATAATAAAAATGAACAATATTATAACAAATTAAGTTTTATTTATAAATACATACTTTTGCATAACATAAGCCATTATCTGTTAAATAATCATCATGTTCTGATATATCCATTTCAACATAAACATCTGAAAAAACTGCTTGTCTGTATTAATCAGAAGATGCATAAATAATAATCTTATTATCATTGTCTAAATATGCAAATTCAAATACTTCAATCAAAATTATTTCATTTTCAATATCCTGTAGTAACCATCCTTCAACATCATGAAAATAATTGTAGATACAATATTTGAGCTTTTTAAAGCAACATATCCACAATTCATCAAAAGTTTGTGCACTTGATATTTGGTATATAACTTGGTCAATCATATGTTGTATTATCTGTTTAATAGGTTTTTTTAATATAATTCCATGATAAATGCTATTACGAGTCTGTAAACAGAACTTTGATACAAAAGATGTAAAGATATTCTGACAACGGACCTTAACATTAAAAATATAACATTAATAATATATTAAGGCAATTATAAGATTCTTACAATTGCTTGCATCTGTATGTTTATATGATGCTTATTTGTCATGTGATATGGTTGATTAATATTGGTTTTGTGTAATAATTCATATGTCTCACTTGTAAATCTATTAACAGCTTCAAATTAGTAAATTGATGGTATTAAGTTTATTAAGTGAAACCTCCAACTATGTAACTTAGGTAGGTTTAAGTTAGACAGTGAAAACTTTGACATGAGCTTGATAAATAGGTCACTTCATGTAACAATAGATTTCTTTTAGAAAAAGAACCTAATTTTAATTATATGTTTTGTTAGGGAACTTACATATATGACGTAATTATTGGAGGGGGGTCTCAAATATCTCACCTCTATAATTAGCCAATCCAGGTCACATGATGATCTACATACGATATGAAGGTGTCATACGATCATTGGCAATAATTTCGACTCTGTCATTTTTTTTTTAAAAAAAAAATAACTTTCAGCATATAAAGCAAAAATATTTTTATATCCATTTTGCGAACATACTGGTATTTCTTTTTGACGACATACTTTCTAACCCATTATATATATCGTTTATGTTAATGAATTTGATTAGACATATATTTGGGTAAATGCTAAATCTAATCTGACAGATGTCATCTAAAAAAAAATGTACAACGAATTCCAACAATAATTCAATCGATGAACTGGACTTTCTTAAATAATTTATGTATTAGCGGAATATTAATGTTTATATGATTTAATGATTTAGCATATAGCAAATTTTTACTAATAATTTTTTTTACTTAAAACCCGCCCTAGCATTATAATAATCTCCTTACTCACTATCCGATTGTATTGCTCAGTTATATAAGCCTAGTGCCTGTCCAGCTGACATAGATGCAACTGAAAAATTATCAATAGAATTGGTAAGTGGCTTTTTTGCTTGGCTGGTCGTCCTCATCATTTTGGATGTTGATTTTTTTTATGTAGAGCAACGATAGAAAGAGTCAGAAAATATGCATTGCAGTTGGAGCAGCAGAGACAAGTATAAGTGTTTGAATTAATAGAAGGACAATGGGCATCATATTCAGGTATTTTGAGTTTATCGCAATATTCTAATATATGAAGCGGATTCAAAAAATAACCATTCTTTCCTTTTGTTACAGGTGGAAGGAATCCATTGTTTTCCACAAGAAGGATGGCTAACTCTTCATGATGTTTAGGTAAACAACAAAGAGAATTTTCACATTTTTTTAATATTAAGGGAATATTGACAAATTTTAGTGTGATTTTCTAACCATTGCCAGGGTACAATCGATTCATTGGTATCTTCTTTATCACATTCAGAAAACATGATATTACCGAATGAAGAGCTTTTTTGATCAATATATTGTGTTGTAACCAGTCTTCCAAAGATAGGATTATGATTCCAAAGAGCATACAAAGCTTCACCAGCATAACGCATATTCTTCATTGCAAACTCTAAGTTAACTACTTGGCCTTGAGAGTTAAGATGGGAATCATATTTATCAATTGGCAATGTGATGCCAGCTAGCTTTTGAGAGAGCATTGCTATACTACGCTCAACGGGGTTATATGCTGATTGACCGGATGCATGCATTCGAACAGAAAGATAATCAAGATCAAATGCACAGAATATTCTACAATATTGAAAGACATTCTTCATGTGGCGGGGATTTTCATCTGGGCCTCTGTCAACTAAAAGAATCCAAATAGGTTTAATCTAACTATCAACTTTTAGTACCTCATCAAAATAACTGTTTTTTGTTAATGAATTTAGATCACTAATATGAGAGGTTGAGCTTGTGCCAATTTGATATTGTGGGCATATGAAAATTGAAAGTTGGCCATTACGAAAAGTGTCATTTGTATCGCTTAGATTAATGAGTAAATAGACCGATGGGATAAGCTTTTGCTGCATTTCAATCAGAAAATCGTGATCAGGTAATGTAACTGGTTCTTGAAGAGTTTGCATTGTTTGAAAAGTTCTTCTAACTGTGGGAATGCCAAGAGGAATTTTAGCTTATCATTCTGAGAAATAATAACAGAATGAGTTGGGAATAAGGCAGCAAATTGTTTTGCTCCTTTTATAGAAGCAAGGCAATAATGCTCATCAGTGTGTTCCTTTTTTTCATCTTGAGAAACAGATGCAATTGCTATATTAGCCGGATGGTGATGAGCCTTTGATGCTATAGAATTTGATTGAGATGGCAACAGGTAATTACTGAGGGTGGTACAAGAAAGATATTCATTATATTTTGAATTGAGTTCTTCTTGGAGATGACGGATGGTCCTAACTTTAATGACCTCTTTTCTTCTTTTTTTATCTGCAGCTCCAAACTCAATACATTCATGTATGTGTTCATGTAAATCGGGATATTGAATTAGAAGAGGCGGACGACCAGGTGAATCGTATTTTATTACTTCTTGATTTTCATGTAGGAGTTTTGCTTTTTTTCTCCTACTTTTATGTTGATAACCTGCCTGACGTTTCAATTTCTTGATTTTATTATCTTCATTACGTAAAATTTCCTTGAGACTTGCTATGCGTTCCATTAAATTACATCGAATTTCTACATCATTAGTAGAATTATAAAGACACTGAAAATCTGCAAGTTTTATACTAGTTGTATTGATAGTTTTCGTGGCTTTTTTCTGTGCAGCAGCATTGGGAGGTGGATTGGCATTAACTACAATAATCTCTTCCATTGGCTTTTGAAAGGCCTGTATGACTTGGGTGGACTTTGAGCTTTGAGAGGGGCTAGTTCGTGAACGATTAGTTTGCAAAAAACCTTGAATTAGAATTGGAGTTTCCAGATATTCTTGGATTTTTTTTTGATTTCTTTCTGAGGTTTATGCTGAATCTCCTTCCACGCATTAGTATATTCTGTACATAGGCTAATTTTTGGATAAATAGGATTTTTTGCATTCACCATACGCTGATAACCAAAAGCATTACAAAATCTCTGATGTTGATTTGTAGGAGTTTTATAAATATAAAACTTGTTGTATTTTGGTGTAGTTAGAAAAGCCTGCATGCTAAGGTTTTGGATAAAGAAATCAAGAAGTGGTGATCAAAGACACAATTAATACTATATTTATAGATGCAACAATTGTATATGATCAAATTTAGTTATATTAAAAATTAAGACTGACGATAAGTCATGTACATGCAGTTGCGAAAGATATGGTGGAATTATAAACTAATGCTACAAGGGTAATATTTTTTTATTAATACATACTAACATGAAAATAATATGAATCATCACTCAAGTTTATTATTTTATAAAATTATTTTAGATTAATGCTAATATATAGAGATGATGAACTACTTAGTGATTGCAATAAAGTAAAATGGGAAGGGCTACAAGGTAAATCATGTACTATTTTATTAAATATTTATAATACTCAAATTTTTAGGTACAAGACATTGAAGAATTTTTAGCTAAGCGAACATATATTAGCAAAAGTTGCATTGATCAATATCACAAAATATATTAGCAACTTTTAAATTTATACAATTCAAATTACCCAGAATTTCTAAGAAAACAGCTTGATATTCAACAGTATTCTTCAACAATTTAACAGTATCCTTTTCTTTATTGTATAAAATGTATTGTAATTTATTGTAATTTGTAAATGTAAAATGTAATGCTTAATAATAATTGGATGAAATAAATTTAATTATCACGTGATATTTTAGTTTTATCGGGGGTCTAAATCTATAATAACCTATAATTACATCATATATATAAGTCCCCTTACAATTATCTCAAGAATAACTGATTTAATTTTAATTATTTTTAGTTTATTAGATTCATCTAATATATTAATATATATCAAATCAAATATTTTATATAAAACAGTATAATATTATCTAAAATTATATATGTTTATTTTTAATTTATTATATATATAAAAATTATATAATTGCTTTTAACTATATTAACCATTTTAACTTTTGGATTTTAATTTTAATTTTATATATAGTAATAGTAAAAGTGATAATAAAAATAAAAATCAAGGTTTTATAACTTGTTTATTATTAATTAAATAAAAATTTTTTTTCAATAAAGTAATATAATTATATATTATAATATTATGAGATTCAATACACAAAATAGTTTCTAAAAAATAGTAATTTATTAATTTAATATACTAACTTCAATTAAATTTTCATAAGTTTTATTAAAATACAATTTAAAATAAGATAAATTTTTTAAAATTAACCAATTTTTATAAATATAATTTATATTTATCATTCTGAATTAATTTTCAATAAATTGAAAAATTAAAAAAAAAATTCATATGAATTTAAATTATTATTTACCAAATTATATGATGAAATTTTTTTACGTAACTTAAAATATAATGGAAAAATATTTAATTTTAAGTAATTATATTATCAAAAGATTTAAAATTTTTTTGCTAACAAAAAATTAATTTCTTAAGCTATTATAAAACAGGTAATTTTGATTAACTTATTTAAAGTAAAGATATTAAATTAGTTCCTATTATATTGAGCTTTAAATAAAATAGATTTAAAGATATTATATTAATTTAAATATGGGCCAGTGCAAAAAGATTCGTACC